TAAAGTATGTATCATGGATTATTCTAAAATAATTTTTCATATCAAATTGGGATGCATTCTTTGTGGGAGAAAATGTTTAAACATATACTGTGTTATAAATAGTATCTTAAAAAAAAATTTTTAGCATATATAATGCATTACACTTTTAGCAAAAATTGATATTTCACTAATGTTGACAAGAGTAACCATGCTCATGTCCGAATAAAACAATAATAAAGTATGTATCATGGATTATTCTAAAATAATTTGCACTATTTGACTATAAAATTGTCTGTTGATTCAAAACACGTTTTCACGTTACTTGACATCAGAGTAGCGTCAAAAATAAAAACTCCAGGGGGTTCTGCAATAAGTCAGCACTACATGTGTAATAAATAATTAAGTAGATTGTTGACATTTAATAACAAAGGAACTGATTCTATACGAAAAAAAGGTATCTTAAGTGTTGAAAGTTTTTTTCTTAACCATGCATAATATATGCTCGAATATTAATAACTATAAAAATGAACTCAGTAAAAATTTGCAAAGTTTATTGGTGGATTATATTGATTGAGTATAACGTTTTAAATTAAGAAATGAAAAAGTGTTCTTTAACTCATAGTATATCTCACTGTACCTATATTTAAATGAAACAGACATATATTTCAGTATACCGGATTGACGGGAGAAGGGACATTTAATTATGATGAACTGGTGTTGTCTTTTTGGTAAATTCTTTATCGTATGGAACCAAATTTTGGAATAAATTGGTGTAGTACGAAATGTCCAGATTAAAAAAAAAAAAAAATTGGAAAATACCTCTCTGCTCTTGAATAAAAAATAGTTTACTGCACTATACTTTTTTTATTTTCCACACGATGTAATGAACAACGTTTAAGGGGTATTTTATATTGTTATTTTTAAACGTATTTAATTTCACTGAATGCATAAAGCGATTATTTGCTTGAAATGACCCAGTGCTTTTATTCATACAAATGTTTATTTTAATTACGATTTGCATATTTTGTGTAAATATTGGTAGAATTGTGTTGCTTCGAGTTTATAATATGACGATTCTATGACAAATAGCCGGATATGATATTGAAATTTTATTTATGCACCTGACATGCACCCCACCTCGTCTAACTTTTACGATAGTGTTTACTTTATTGTGATGTCACAATTAAAAGTATACAATATCGTATACCTCATCATTTTTTTTTTTTTTTTTTTTTTTTTTTTAACACTTTTGTACAATGAAAAATTCATATCTATCCATACAGGTGACGTACGTTTGAACTCTCATCAAACACGACCGATTAAATTCTTTTATTGGATACGAAAATGATTATTGTACCTCTATTATTGACTATTATCATAACTCGGGCAATTTGTACACGCGTATTTAAAGAAAAAAGTGCTACCGAGCCATGTTATACTCACGAAATTACTTTAATGTAGTTCACCACTCAAAGTTGCTCTCAACTAACTAATTTATTAGAAGTAAACTATCTATTTTTAAATATTAACAAATATTTATATTTAATCTTCTTTCAATAATCAAGTATATACATTGCAAAAATAATAAACAACGCACGTGTCACGTGTGTACTCTGTAGTAATCATTTATTTTTCTTTTACACTTTGGTACGTAGGTAAGTCATATAAAAACAATAATACACATGTCAATGCATCCTTTGGTGTAAATGAAAAAAATCTTCGACAGATCCGTCTTTGGTAATGATTCGCAAATTAAAAAAAAAAAAAAAAATGAAAGCACAGCGTGCATCCAAACGAAGTCACAAACATGAAAATGCCACACAACTCCCACACAAGTACCCCAGATTGACATCACCAGAGGGTAAAAAAAAAAAAAAAAAAAAAAAAAAAAACTCACTTTCTCCCTTCGCCCTCGTTGTCCGTCCTAACAAAAACCCCGGTGGGCCGGCCGTCGAGGCAAATCTGCGCGCCCTCGTACCCCTTGGCATCGCTCGTCCGCTCGACCCGATAAACAGCCCCGTCGGCGTCCGGCGTCACCTCGACGAGCACCAACGAGCCCTCCTCCCTGTCACAGTCCAGGTCATAGGTCCAGGTGACGCGACTCCCGCCGAGAGCAGGATCCCCGAGGCCGGCCCCTCTCACCTCCAGCAGTCCCGTGCTCCCCAGCAGCCGAGCCGACGCGTGATGGACGGGAGGCACCACACCGGCACCGCTGGCCGCCAACGCGAGCAGCGACAGTGACAGGAGCTGGCTGTACCAGCGATTGGCGACCGACGACCGGGAGGACAATTGTAGCAGCAGCACCGGCGACGAGCCATGCTGCGCCATAATACGCACCACGACCAACGATATCAACCAACTTGCACCTTGTCTCACTAATTTTCACGCACGCCCAACTTTCTTGTTGTTGTTGTTGTTGTTGTTGTTTACTCGACACTCGCCGACTTCGTCCCTAGACCCCCTTTGGAAATTGTAACAATTAAAACAATCACTGTGTCACATACAATATTTATTACGTGCACGAGTGTGCGTCGACCGGACACCAGCGTGTGGTAAAATATAATATATGTACACTCAGGCACAACAAATAAGTACTTTTGCACGCAAGCACCCACTCACAAAAATTATTAAAAACAGCGGTGCACATACACTTACACATACACACACGCGCGCGCGCGCGGGATAGGGGGAGGGCCACGCGCACACGCCACCCCCGCGACGATGGAGAGACGGGCGAGCTTCCCTTGGCTTATGCGTGCAGAGTATGCACCTGCACCCCTGGCGTGTGGGCTCTTTGATTTTTTTTTTTTTTTTTTTTTTTTTTTTTTTTTTTTTTTTTTTTTTTTTTTTTTTTTTTCTTCTTCGATGGTTATGTATGTATTGTGTACACACTTTGGGTGAGGCTCGCGCGCGAACACCCGCTCGACTGAACGTGTGTCGCTCTTCTGCTGCGAGAGCACGCCGGCGAGAGAGAGAGCGACCTCGGCGGAGATTTGAGGAACTGTTTGTATATTTCGGAGTCGCACGCGATATACGTCTTCTGCTACAAGATGTGTGTATTATACGTGCGTCACGTGACGAAAATGCAGACTAATACAGTTTTTTATATATATTTATACACTGGTTCGCATCTTTTACTTCAACTTTCAATGATACGGTAGAATAAAACACGTGCATTACAGTATGACGTTTCTACAGATTTTTTTTCAAACTAATTCATGTTTTGTATGTATAATATACGATTAATACATGTAATACATATTATTAGACGCATGCGTGCGCTTTAAGGGTGTAATTTTACGTCAAGTCTATAAAGTTAAGATACACGTTTTTTCATACAAACACGTTGCGTTTCATTTTCTAATATACGAATGTTAGTTTCACTGTTCTTATCGCTACTTTAAATCGTGTAAATATAGAATTATTATTAATGCAAAGTTTATTGGTGGATTATATTGATTGAGTATAACGTTTTAAATTAAGAAATGAAAAAGTGTTCTTTAACTCATAGTATATCTCACTGTACCTATATTTAAATGAAACAGACATATATTTCAGTATACCGGATTGACGGGAGAAGGGACATTTAATTATGATGAACTGGTGTTGTCTTTTTGGTAAATTCTTTATCGTATGGAACCAAATTTTGGAATAAATTGGTGTAGTACGAAATGTCCAGATTAAAAAAAAAAAAAAATTGGAAAATACCTCTCTGCTCTTGAATAAAAAATAGTTTACTGCACTATACTTTTTTTATTTTCCACACGATGTAATGAACAACGTTTAAGGGGTATTTTATATTGTTATTTTTAAACGTATTTAATTTCACTGAATGCATAAAGCGATTATTTGCTTGAAATGACCCAGTGCTTTTATTCATACAAATGTTTATTTTAATTACGATTTGCATATTTTGTGTAAATATTGGTAGAATTGTGTTGCTTCGAGTTTATAATATGACGATTCTATGACAAATAGCCGGATATGATATTGAAATTTTATTTATGCACCTGACATGCACCCCACCTCGTCTAACTTTTACGATAGTGTTTACTTTATTGTGATGTCACAATTAAAAGTATACAATATCGTATACCTCATCATTTTTTTTTTTTTTTTTTTTTTTTTTTTTTTTTTTTTTTTTTTTTTTTTT